GCCACAGCTAATTACAAGAGAGACTGGGAAATGCAGCCCATCTATGTGGCCAGGAGGCAGAGGAAATAGTGTTTGGTGAATACATCAAGGCTTTACTACAGTTCAATAAGTAATTGCTGAAAGCATATGATGTGGCAGGCTCTGTGTATCCTACTGGGACCCAAGAGAATAAGACAGAGTCCCTGCCTTTGAAGTACAGAGGGATAATTTCACAATAAGGTGATAAGGGCAATGATCATAATAAACACAATACATGGAAACTTAGAGGATGAGACTAGCTCTGCTTGGAGAAGGCTTGGATGTGTCTCCCTGGTAGATGAGACTCATGCTGAATTTTGAGGATGGGTAGAAGAGTGGGAGAAATAGATTGGGGGAAGATGTTTAAAGCAAAACAATGATCAGACTAGATCATTCTGTGTGGAAGAAGCAATTCAATATTATTGGAGTTGCTATAAGCAATTCAATATTATTAGAGTCAAAGAAATGGACAGGAATAAGCAATTCAATATGATTAGAGTGAAAGGAATGGACAGGAAGGAGGAGCAGGATATGAAACGTGGGGATCTGGCATGCTTTAGAGGCATTTGAAGAGTTTCAATAAACAACAGGAAGAAAGTTGGGTGGGGAAGGGATGGGCACATGGGCAGCGACACATTTAATAGAGATCACTTTGGTATCTATATTCAGGGTGATATGGACGGAGGCAAGACTCAGAGAACAGTTTAGAAGTTTTTACAAGTGTCCAGGCAGGAAATAATAAGGGTTTGAATTAGACTGTAAAGAAATAATTGATGCAAGAAATACAAATAACTTAAAATTGGGAAAATTTGCTAATTGGTTATTTGTGAAGGTTAAAATAGAAGAGACTGGAATCAGTCCAGACTCTGACTTGGGTAACTCTACAACTTGTCTTGTCATAACTGACATAGAAACATAAACCTATAAATATAGATAGAACAGTAGGTCTTGGAGAAGGTGAGTGCAGTTTGGAGAATTGTCCAGTCATATATTGCATGGCAAACTACTTCGAAACTTAGTGGCGTAAAACAACCACCGATTTATTATGCTCATGGATTCTGCAGGCCAAGATACTGGACTGGGCTCAGCAGAAATGCTTAAGTCTACTCTACCACATCTGGGGCTTTAGTTTGGAAGAAACATATGGCTGGAAGGAATCATGAGATTTTTTCACTCACAGGCTGGGGCTTTGATGGGAAGGGTTGGAAGGCTGAGTTCAGCATTATAGGATAGTTAGCAGCATCCTTGCCCTCTACCTACAAGATAACAAATGCACCCAACCCACCAACGCACTTGTGACAACCAAAATATCTGGCATTACCAATATTGAAGGACAACTATCTCCTGTTATAGCCATTTGAGGACCAGTGGGCTATATGTGCCTGAAACTTAGCCAGGACTGGAGAAGGACTTTGCAAATCATCAGCATGTAGGAGGTTGTGAGAGCCACTGCAATCTATGAGATGTCTTGGGATATTTGGAATGAGAAAATTAGAGGGTTAAGGCTAGAAGTACAGACCCATATTGAAGAATGTAAGAAAAAGGGATAACAGTAAGAAAGATTTTAAAAAGTGCTCACTTTAGCACTAAAATTGGAGCAATACAGAGAAGATTAGCATGGCCCCTGCGAAAGGATGACACGCAAATTCGTGAAGTGTTCCATCTTTTTATGAATATAAATAGATCCAGAGACAAGAAGCATGAAACAGACTGTGAAACCTCAGAGGGAAAGCAGGGGGGTGGGGGGCAGGAGGGAGTGGTAGTGGTAGTGGTAAAAAGACTTGTAAGCATGCATATAAACATAACCAATGGACACAGACACTGGGGGAGGGCGTGTGCAGGAGAAGGGGTGACTGAAGAGAAGTCACTGGGGGAAAGGAGACTTATGTAATACTATGTGTAATACTTCAAAGAATAAAGAATTAAAAGAAAGATTTTAAAAAATCAAGAGAAATTTAGGAGAGCCAAGAAAGAAATGGTGGTGCAAAGGCTATGGCTAGTGTCTGCCCAAAACCTTATTTCTACTCTCTCCTTAGACAGACCCATCTGCTGGGCCACAGTGGTTGGTCCATGGATGGCCACACTACAAAAGATAGGCCAAGTAGTCCTTCCCTGTGATTTTAACTTTGAATCTTGAAGCACAATGTTTCTTTTTTATTTCCTTGTATTGGAATGATGTTAATAAACCCCGAAGTGCCTATGGTATGCTCCCTGCCAAAGGCGAAGGCTCGGCTGGGTGGGTTTCCACGTGCCATGAGCTGATAATCACCACTTGCGCCTTGCAGCACAAGAAGAGGCTTTGCAGGGAAGCTGGTGGGAGCTTTCTAGGGCACCTACACTTCCTCACGTCTTCTCAGATGCTCAACTGTCAGCTAGTGCTTCTCTGTGGAATCATGGAAGACAATCAGGGAAGCTGCACTGAAAACATCTCTTTCGTGCTGACTTCTCAACTAAGTAAGTGGTGAATCTCTCCTCTCTCTCTCTCTCTCTCTCTCTCTCTCTCTCTCTCTCTCTCTCACACACACACACACACACACACACACACACACACACACACACACTATGTGAGCTATGAGGGAACTTGCTCAGTAGCAAACAATCCAACACAGAATACTGTACACATGTTATAGTTTCACCTGAAGTGGAAGAAAATGAGATCAGCAACCGAGAGAAGCAGAGCTGAGAGCTGAGAAAGACTAACCTTTTTGATAGCATTTGAGCCTTAAGACCAAATCATCCCTGAAGCCAGATCCCGTCCTGGTTATGTAAATCAACAAATGCTGTTAGGTATCTTTTTTTTTTTTTTTTTCTTTCAAATTGAAGTGTCCTAATATAGAAACTGACACCAGGGGTGAATGACAGACCTACATTATAAAATTGCTTCTGTCAAGACAGGGAAGGTAACAGTGGAGGTTTCCCTGTCTTTGGCTGAAAAGCTGGAATTCTGGCATCTAGAAGTAAAGCAGTGGAACTGCTACATAGTGCATTTCCCCCAATCAAAGCCCCCAACACCCTAAAAACGGAAACCTTATGACCTTGGTAGAAAGGCATCAGGATATTGGAGAACTGGGAAGGCCAGGTGCCCCAGAGTCTCCCCACACACCACCACGGCCGTCCCGGTAGCCGCTGCTTTACAAGGGCCGTACCCCTCCCCATTGCCAGCTCTGGGTGCATCCAGGGGATGGCAGCAGCTCCCCATTGTTCCATTTTCCTAAGAGTCAGAGGCAAAGATCGATCTGTTCACCTGAAGCCCAAGGGAGTGGGATGGTTCCTGCGCTGCTGTCCAGGGACTGAAACCACAAGGTTGGGGCCCAGATTCAGAGATGCTAATTTTGGTAGTTGTTACTAGCCAATGGAGCCCCCTTCCCCAATGAAATAATTGGGCCAGCCACTGAGGACTTCAAGCACACTGTGTGGGCCCCTTGTCAAATAGAGAATTGTGATTGTTCATCCCTCCAAGCCTTCAAGCCCCTCTCTCAGAGAGCAGTTGCTAAAGTAGTAGAGACCTCAGAGACACCTCGTTCAGCAAGGGCCATGCTCCATTTTCCAGTTTCTCCATTCCCCCCAGCAGAGGAAGCCTCCAGGCCATCCTCTGAGACATGGTGATGAAGAACGGAGAATAGGAAGGCTCTGAAGCATCCAGACTGTGGGGCCCACTGTCTGTCTGGATGCTTCAAGAGAAGGGAACAAGGGACAGAATGTCCGATTCTATCAGACTGGTGGAGGTGCTTTCTCTTCCTTCCCTACCACCTTCTCTCCGTGTGGGATCACCATTAGGTAATTCTTCCAGTTCTCTGTCTACCTCACAATTAGTCAACGGGACTGTAACTTTAACACATAACAAAAATGAAAAGCCCCTAGTTACCCAGGGGCCATTGCTCCACGTTCCAGTTTCTCCATTTCTACCAATCCTCCAGCTATCTGACAAAAGAGATGCCGCTGAAGGTAACCACAGAGACAGGCATGAAACCAAAGAAGATTTTATGTAACATTTATTTTTTTTCTCCCATCCTAATTTTGGCTTTATTTCTCATCTCCCATTTCAATTCTTTTCTTGGAAATCCAAACTTGTGGGGTGTTGTTTTTTTTTTGTTTTGTTTTGTTTTATATAACAACATGTTTAAAATCATGATTATCTAAAGTCGTAACAAAATTTTCCGCTCTCCAAAAAGGAAGCGGGGGGGGGGGGGGGGGGGGGGGATGCACAGCTTTTATTCTTATGCAGCATTTTCAAAATACCCATGTTAATATATATTTTTAATAAACTATTTAAAATAGAACCCTTCATCCTTTGAGGTTACTGACATTTGTCTAGTTCACTGACACATCCCCCACATAATACATTAATTCTATTCATTTTCATGAATGAAGTGGAAACTATACTAAAATATAGGATTTTAATCCCTGAGGTGCCAGTTAAAATGGACGAGGTTGCAATTGCAACACAGGATTTTTAATAAAAAAAAAAAAATCAGCCTTAAATAACGAGCATGGCTCATGCTATGGGCATCAGAATCCCTCCACGGCATGGAGTCACTTAGGAAAACCTGCGTCTACTGGCCGGGCCACCTTCACCCTGCAGCCCCTAGCCCTGGCGCTGGGCACAGCTTTCCTTTCGTAAAAGGAAGAACACGTGGCCATGAAGTCTGCAGGAACTTGTGGGATCCTCCGACATCAAGAAGAAACCACAGTCCTGGTTCTCTAACCTCCCTCCGCGTTGTTGGAGAGGGATTTTCAGCACCATTCCAAGACCCGGAGAGGTGGAGGGACCGACTTGGGTTTTCTACTTCGCCATACATTTTCGTCAAAAAGAGGAAGCGGTCCTCCTGGCTCGAAAGTGGGGGTGCCCTGCTTGTCTCCGGGGTCCTCGGGACCCTTAGCACAACTGCGTTCAGCGCTGCGCCCGCCCTCCCTGCAGCCCCGCTCCCCTCCTCCCTGCGGCGCGGGGTCCTGCTCCCAGCGGTGCGGGGCCTGCACGGGCCCTAGTAGTAGCGGTTCAGGCTGCGGGTCCCCGGCACCTCGGGCTGCCCGTTCATCCAGATCTCCCTGATGATGCGCTCCCGCTCCTCCAGCCGCTGCGCGCGCTCCAGCTCCTCCGCCGAAGTGAAGACGTTCTTGTTCAAAGTCCTCTCGAAGCGGCGGTGCCTCCGGACCGAGATGTCCGAGCTGCCGTCCTCGCTGTCGCTGCTGTCGCTGCTGTCACTGCTGCTCTGTTGGTCCGGCAGGAACTTCTTCCGGGCACGGGGCCGCCGCTGGCAGTCCGCGCGGCAGGACAGCCTCACCACCAGGGCAGCCAGGGTGAGGACCAGCCCGATGCACACGCCCGACACGAAGTACAGGGCCGCTCGCTCAGGGTTTTCTGCGGGAGGAGAGAGGAGAGAGCATTGGAGCGGTGGCCACTCCAGCCCGCCTTGGACACCTCTCACCAGGCGCCAAAGCTTGCCTTCCCACGTGACCAAATGCACAGTGCATTCAAAATATAATTATCCCCCAAGGATGAATCTGGGTAAAGAGTGTATGAGATTCTTTTCCTGTTCTTGCAACTTTAAAGTTGAAATTATTTCAAAAGGTTAAAGGAAATAAAAATATTGAACACCATGATAAGCAAGCTTAGATACCATTTCATGAAGAGGTGTACTAGTTTAAAGTTTATTTTGGCCTATGCTAGAAAAATGTTTGCCTTTGAATTTACTCCTACAACTTCCTGAATAACCTATTAATCACATTTTGGGGGCTTCTTTCTTCTTTCTTCTCCTCTCCTTCATCTTTCCCCTCTTTCTCCCCCCACCCCCTCCTCCTCCTTCTTTATGACAAATCTATACTAATAAAAGCCTAGGTGGCCCTCATGTCATCACAAGATTGCCACCCCACTGTGTCACAAGATGGCTGCCACAAGATGGCTGGCAGGGGAGGGCAGTTGGGGGCGAACTGGCCAGCAGGGGAACAGTTAGGTGTCAGTCAGGCTGGCAGGGGAGCAGTTAGTGGGCAATAAGGTTGGCAGGCAGAAGTGGTTAGGGGCAATCAGGCAGGCAGGCAGTGAAGAGGTTAGGAGCCAGTAGTCCCAGATTGTGAGAGGGATATCTGACTGCCGGTTTAGGCCCAATCCCACCGGCAGTCAGACATCCCCAGAGGGGTCCCACATTGGAGACGGTGCAGGCTGGGCTGAGAGACACACACCCCCACTCCCGCTCCCCCCCCACCCCCACCTCGCACAAATTTTGTGCACCAGGCCTCTAGTTTATAAATAAAGGCAAGGCCAAACTATCTTGTTTATTCTAAATAGAGTATCACAGACTTTGTCAACAAGTGTAGGCAGCTTCCAAGATACCTTCTACCTGTTGGTCTTACACTCTTATGCAAGTACCTCCCCTTGAGGGCTGGACCTAGTGGGCTAGCCCCAGGGTCTTACTTCTAATAAATAGAACGTAGCAAACATGATGGATGAGTCTAAGATTAGGTGACATAGACTAACTTCCAATTTGCTTGTGCTTGTTCTCTGGCTTTTCTTAGTTGCTCACTCTATGAAGCCAATTGCCATGTTGCAAGCTGCCCTACAAAAGCCCACAAAGCAAGGAACTAAGCTTAGACCCTGGCCAACAGTCTGCAATGAACCAAATCATGTCAACAGCCACGTCAGTGAGCTTAGAAGTGAATCCCCTGGTGAAGTCTTGAGGTGGCCGCAGCCCTGGCCTTGAAAGCAACCTGGTGGGAGACCTTGAACCAGAAAATCCGCTAAACCAAACCCAGATCTCTGACCCACAGACACTGAGAGATAGTAAGTGTATGTTGCTTTAAGTCATTAAGTTTTGAGGTCATTTTCCATGCAGTAATAGATAATTTATATAATCATGTATTGGAAGCCAGTGTAGTTATTTTGGAATGACCTCAACAGGTTAATTTGCAGAGGAGGAATTTGAGTCCTTCCTTGGTGAGAGAAGAAAATAATCATATTATATCGTTTCTCAGCCTTTTGGCTAAGATCAAGTGTAGTATCTGTTCTTATCAGTTTACTATCTGATACGTCCTCTATCAGAGGACAATACATTAAATGGATTTTTGAAGCTGGGAAATGGAATAGAGTTTGCTCCATCCACTCCATGCATCGACCGGTATTGCAGTACCTCCGGGATGATGCACCCTTTTTGGGGATAAATTAAAAAGAAAAAATAAAATAAAATAACCATCCTATAGATAAGCGATAGGCTTAGTGTGTCCAGTAATGACCCCTATATGATGTGCTCAACCGAATGAGAGCCTTTGGGTGAACAGCTTTCCCTTTCTAGGTAAGTATGAGAACATGGGACATGCCTGGCTTTGAGTCAGAGGGCTTGGTCAATCTGACAAGACCTACAACTGACACCAGTAAATAAGTTTTCCATAATCTATATTCACTGGTAATTATGAATTAAAATATGCATTGTTTTCTAAATTTAAGAATGTTTCTTATAGAGATTTCCAGACAAATAAACAGCATTTTTTTAAACTTTATTTTTCATCCTCACCCAAGGATATGTGTATTGATTTTAGAGAGAGAGGATGGAAGAGAGAAATCAATATGAGAAAGAAATATCAATCAGTTGCCTCCAGTACATGCCCTGCCAGGGATCGAACCTTTGGTGTATGGGACAACTCTCAAACCAACTGTGCTACCCCACCAAGGCAGCATTCTTTTTCCTTGTTGCAATAATGTTGTTTATGTAATCATTTTCTTATTGTTTCAGATTTTTCACTGTTATGATCAATGCTAGAGTCAGCATCTTTGTATACATCTCCTTATGTACAAGAATTATTATTCTACAGGTTAGTTATGTAGAAATAGTTGCATCAAAGCACATAAGCATTTCAAAGTTTTATGCTTTTTAATCTGTACCCAAAAAGGTTCTATCAATCTAAACACAGCATATTAAACATACGTATTTATTATCTCTTCTCTCTGAAATCCCCACCAAATGATAGGAATGTAAATAGAATAAATAAAAATTAAAGGTACAAAGAGAAGAGTAGATAATAATGTAGAAAACATAGTCAATAGAGAAACTTGATCTATAGCACCACCTTCTGGAAAATAAAAGAAAGGTTTCCAGAAACCAGCCAGGTGAGTTGTAAAAAGCAGAAATGACATAAAAACTTAAGAATTTTGTTACAAGCCAAAACTGGTTTGGCTCAGAAGGGTCCCAGGGTTCGATTCCAGTCAAGGGCATGTACCTTGGTTGTGGGCACATCCCCAGTAGGGGACATGCAAGAGGCAGCTGATCAATGACTCTCTCATCAATGTTTCTGACTATTTCTCTCCCTTCCTCTCTGTAAAAAAGTCAATTATATATATATATATATAAAAGATTAAAAAAGAATTTTGTTACAAGAAGCAAGAAGTGCAGAACAGGTATATATAATAAATACAAGGTCAGAGAGTATCCTGGATATAACAGGATCAACAAACAGTGTACCCCATGTGAAGACAACTGGTAAAGATTTGAGGAGGTGTCCACTACATCAAAGGCAAAATCAGCAATGCAAAACTAAGGAACATGAAAAATAAATAAAACACGTCATCACCAAAAGATAATAATCTTCCAAATAACTGAGCTCAAAACATAGAATCTTGCAATCTAGTGGATAAAAAAAAATTAATAGCTGTTTTGATGAAACAGTGAGAGACAAACACAAAAGACAGTTAAACAAAATCAGGAAAAGAAAATAGATGAACAAAATGAAAAGTTTATCAAAGAGATAGAAACTATAGAAAAAAAACAAACAGAAATTCTGGAGCTGAAAATTCAATGATTGAAAAAAAATCAATACAGGGAATCTGCAGCAGAGTAAATCAAATGGAAGACAGAATAAACAACCTAGATGATAGAAACCTTGAAATAACCAAATTAGAGGTGAATGGGGGATGGGGAGGGAGAGGATGTAAAACAGTAAAGAAAGCCTACATGATCTATGGGATTCAATCTTATAAATATTAACATGATTTATGTTCCAGAAAGAAAAAAAGAGGATGAAGCAGTCATGAAGTTTATTTAAAGAAATAGTAGCTGAGAACTTTCCAAACCTGGGGAGAGCCTCAGACATCCAAGTTCCCAAAGCTAATAGATCACCTTCTACCTCAACACAAAAAGACCTTCTCCAAGATACATTATAATGAAGCTGTCAAAAGTCAAAGAAAAAGAAAGAATCCTGAAAGCAGCTGAGAAAATATTGTAACCTTCAAAGGAACCCCCATTAGGCTTTCCATAGATTTCTCAGCAGAAACCCTACAAGCTAGGAAAGTAGAATGATATATTCAGAGTGTTAAAAGGAAATAGTTGTCAGCCAAGAATACTCTATCTGGAAAAACTATCCAGATCTGAAAGAGAAATACTTTTTCCAGAGAAACAAAAGCTGAGGGACTTCATCACAAGAAATGCTGAAAGTTCAAGCTGAAATTTTAAAATGCTAATTAGTGACATAAAAACATATGAAAGTATATAACACACTGGTAAAGGTAAATATACAGTGAGACTTAGAAAATTCTAGTTCTGTAATAGGATAGTGTGTTAGCCACTTAACTATAAGATAAAAGTTAAAGGAAAAGAGTAATAAAAATAACTCAATTACTATAATCTGTTAATAAATATTCAATATAAAAAGAGGTAAATTGTGACAGCAAAAGTATAAAGAGGGAAGTAAAAGGGTAGAACTTTTGAATGCAATTCAAAGCTTTTATCAATGCAGATGATGTTAGCTGAGGGCTTGGCATTTATGATTTTACTAAAGGTCCCATGAATGAAATTCATGCAAGGGGCTCAGCCCTGGCAGCCCCTTGCAGTCCCGACTTCCTCCAGAAGATTGTCTGTCCTGCTGTACCATCTAATAAGCATACTGGCTCTTTATTATATAGGACTATATTGTGGTGTGTTCCTTTTATACCCTATTTGTTAAGGATTTTACCATCAAAAGATGCTGTAGTTTGTGAAATGATTTTTCTACGTCTATTAAGATGACCAAGGACAAAGGAGAGGAAATCACTATCTCACAGAGACACCTGCATTCCCATATTCATGGCAGCATTATTCACAACAACCAACAATAGAAACAGCCTAAGTGTCGGTCAGCAGAATAAATAAAGAAAATTCAGCCATAAATTGGAAAATATTCTGCCATTTGCAACAACATAAATGGATTTGGGGAGCATTATGCTAAAATTGAGATAAATTAGCAAAGCAAACACTGTATCATATCACCGATATGTGGATTAAACGTTAAACTCATAAAAACAGGGTAGAATGCTGATTTCCAGGGGCCATGAGGCAGGGGAATTGGGAGATGTTATTTAAGGGTACAAATCTGCAATTAGGAGATAAGTTATGGAGATCT